TGGTAATATAATGGAATCGGTTATAACTCACGTCGCAAGCCCCACTTATCCAACTATTATCGACTTCAATGGCCTAGCTGCATACAACGAATCCATCATTCTCGCTTCTGCCAGCACGACAATGCTATCGCTGCCGTCGATGTTGAGACTGGGAGAACTTGGGTAGCCTTTGAGGATGATTTAATGAGCAATATTAATGGTATCAAGATCCAAGATGGTTATATATATTGGACAGCTGGTTCCGAATTTTGCCGTGCAGAATTGCACTCCAACTTTACCATCAGTACTGCTGAAGTGATTGCCCTCGGCTCGGAAGACGGTTCATCTTTGAACTTCGACGATTTTGCCCTATCCCCCAACGTTTGGAAGACCAATCAAACTAACAGCGAAGGTCGTAAATATGCATACCTCACTACATCCGTTAACAACTCAATTATGGAGATCAGCTTCGATGCTAAGACTGGTGGTAACAATGAGACTGCCATTATTGCTGGTGCTCTGGACTCAACCGATATTGCTGAACCGACTGGTGTCGCATTTGGTCGTGTCAAAGGTCAACTCAACAGGCTGTACGTTACAACTGGTGGCGGTAGTGGAACTAATGTTGATGTAGATGGGGTTGAGACAGCAGTAGGAGCTCAATTGCTTGAAATAACCCTCACCTAGAAAGTATTAAGCGATCTAATTTACTATTGACTTGAAAATTCAAGGGTACTTTGATCTGGTACAAGTAAATGCTAGCGCTCTTTCATCATAGTAATATCCAATAATTATCATAAGTTAGATCTCGAAAGATTTGATGAGTTTCTTACTACTCAAATAGAAACAAAAGTGCCTAGAGATTTCCAATATCCAGCCTCTCGTTTTTTCAAACATCAACCGAACAGAGTTTTCCTTTCCAATTGCTGAGGATCTTGTACTTGGCCCAGCACCATTCAATCTTCCTTCAACGGATAAACCAGAGAAGTTTCATGTGAAACGTCATGAATTCTTCATGGTCAATGAGAACCCCGGAGAAGATTTGATTCACAAGCTCTAGATATGTGAGACAATTCCGCCAAGGCTGAAAAAGGAATGTGGGTATTCTCCTGACTTCCCCCAGAGTTATAAGGGATATGATGCGCTTAATCGACCTATCATTTCAGGATATAGTCATGGCGGGGTTGGAGATTCTCGTAGTTGGTGTTGAATCATCGCTACTGCCACCATAAAAATTCCCAGCAACGACCCGTGCGACTTTGGAATTTAGCAAGAGGTTTCAGCACCGCCTACATGCCTCGAGTCCAGAAATATAAAGATCACGATCCTTCCTTCAATCATAGAGATGTACAAACGAGTGTCTGCTACAACTTTTCTCCTTCAATATGACACGAGTCTCGAATTTAGCTCGGCTCTTTTGCGCGTTTGTTCTTGCGTCTCAAGTGCATGCTGCTAATCTTCCACTACCGTTGCAACCTGATAAGAGACCTACAGTTCGTCCTTCTTCAATTGTAGATCCTATCCCTACAACGTGTACTACATCGACCGTCAGTATAGTGTGTGGGAGTAAGTATCCCGGCTTTCTTATTATCTCTTTGTTAGAACCTTGTCACTCACTTATTCTCTAAAATCCAAAACACAACAGCTCTTTCCTTCTCTCGCAATTTCTAACTTTCTGTAATAGAAAACGTTTGTCAAAGTGCCTGGGCAACAGCTTTCACGTCCTCTAATGCCTACGTGCAATTATTTTGTTCCTCATTTACGTCCCCAGGACGCAGAAGCACCCTGTCATTTGACAAAAAGGGGCCCGCAGGTGCATGTACAAAAGGTCTTAGCAATGCTGCAATCCAATCCTCCATCTCATCAGTCTGTTCTTGTTATGCAGGCCCCGGAGTTCCAACCACAGCATTCGTAACGATTTGTCCTACATGTCCACCTATTCAAACCCAAACCGTCACAACATCTGTACCCACTACCACCACTATTGTTCGCACTGCCGATGGAATTATCAAGACGGTGACCACTATCATAACACTAGTGGCCGATCAGGTACTATCAAATCGCATTACTACCACAACCACGCAATTCATAACGCGTTCAGATCTCTCGGCACCGTGCACCACCACCACAAATGTCCTCACTACAACCCTAGTAACAGCTATCTACGACTACTTCACTTATATAACTACCACCTGTCAAGCAGGTCGTTATCTATGTGACACCACTCCTTGGCAATCACCCAGAGCTACTACCGTTACAGTGTACACACCGTACTGCAATCAAATCTCCGAAAGAATCATTACAATAACCAGTACCGTTACAGCCGGTCTTCCATTCTTGCCTCCATCGTCCGCAACATGTGAACCAACGACTACAACAATAACTTTAGTAATCGATCCGATGCCAATTGAACACACAACTACCGAGACGATAACGGCTGGGATGTGTACGGCTACGACAACAGAGACAAGCACTACTACTTGGGATGATAATGGATTTTGGCCCACACCTACTCCGTCGACTTTCTCGCCAATTATAATTGATGATGGGGGTTTGACTTGGAGGGAAACTTTGGTAGCGCCAAGTCAGGCTACTGGCACGCATGTTCCAGTAAGAGAAGAGGAAGATTAAATCTTGGGTCTAGAATGAGATATCTACCATTGAAAGTGAAAGATAGCTCTCGAAGGAAGATATAGGGAGGTGGTAAGTTCTAAGAAAACTTGGCATGAGCAAAAGCGAGGATATTGATTTAAAAAACTTGTGATTTTGAAGCTTGATTTCTTGATTTGATTTCGTTTGCTTAAGCCTGATAGACCATAGATGTTAATTATTTGGAATGTCAAATTATGCGACATTGAAGAACTTGTTATCAGGAAAAAAGTGAATTGAAATAAAAGAAGACCAAGTTAACTACAGAAAGAAGGAAAGAAGCAAAAAAAAAAAAAACGCCAAACGCCAAAAGCCAAAATACAAAAACAAAAGAAAAAGTAAAGAAGAGTAAAAAATACTATACATCCAAATCCACCCATTCCCCGTACCATCCATTCACCTCTCCCTCCACCCACCCCGCCACCACCTCCACCACCTCATCTACCCACACAATACCCTCTCCCCCCTCTCCTCCCTCTCCTCCCGAAACATAGTTGTTTGCCCAAAGGCGGAGAAACAGAAGCAAAACGTAAGCTCCGAAGAGCGCCAAGGAAGAGAAGAAAATAATCTTCTGTGCCCGAAGGCGCCACTGACGTTCCCGAAGGCCCATCTCTCGCTCCCTGAGGCGCGCACGAGTCTCCATCTCCGTTATACGGAGATAATGATTCTGATTGTGCGATTAGAGATTGGGCATTCAGGGGCAGATAGAGTAGGTTGCTTACAAACTCCATTTGCTCCAGTTGGAGCCTGGCAGCCCGCTCCGTCTCCCCCTCCCGCAGTTGGTGTTCCTGATTGTACTATTAGCTTTGGTATAATGGAGTACTCTGGGAAAATGTAATGATTTTGATCAAGTTGATCGTCTCAAACAACCAAGTGAGTGAGATTAATCAGACCGATGTAAACATTCACTTGATTGTATACAATCAGAGTAAATTGGGCAATCAGACGTGTCCAAACCACCAGATAGATTGAAACATCAAGAAAGAAGGAGAGACATAGGTCACTTTACAAATAAAAGGAGATCCCTCTCCTCCTTCCCGGAACGACGATCACCTTGGTTCGTCAAATGTATGTGGTGATGGTCGTTGGTGAGGGTCGGAGAGGGAGAGGGAATCTCCGCCGCGCCGGCCCGACGAACTTCGGAGCGAGGTTGGTGTCTTCGACGATTCTATATAAGACAGCTGTCAGCAATGTGCAATGCTGAGGAAGACACCAATGTCTGACCCAAAGCCCAGCATCTCAACAGAGTGTTCAAGATCGTATCTGAGCCGGCGACACACTCACAGCCCAGATGAACGAACGGAAGCGGACTGGCCGGTGATACACGCGCAGCACAGGACCATAGTACTCGGCAAGCTCCTAGCGCTCCGCCCGGGTGGAACTGCATCCCGAGCGTCCAACTATGCCTACATTTAAAAGTAGGATTTCGCTTCTTTTTTGAACAACTGCTTCATACAAGGCAACTGCTCCTCGAAAAGTCTGAGGACAACTCCCCCATACCAAAGTAGGCTGGTTTGATGATCCTACTGATCTATAGGAGTCGTACATGCCCAAGTCATTCAAAGAGGAGGAATGGTAATGCAACTCCCATTGGGGATATTACGCCATGTATATAGAGAAAGTGAAGGCTGGCAGACCAAGGGAGAGACATTATGAAAATGGTGTCTTACCTCTGATCCCGACATGATTGTTGTTGTTGGTGCTTTTGGAGTTCTTTTATGGTATTCGTGGACTGTTCTGTCTATAAATTAGCAAAGTGAAATACCACGAAGGGAATTAGAAGATTGGGAAAAGGGGATTCGTACACTTTGAGAATCGAGATCGGGCCAAAAAGAAAAAGGAAAGAAGATCAGAAAAGCTGAAGGGGAGATGGATGAGTACTTATAGGTTCTGATTTTCCAGACCTACTAGAAGGTTGTTAAAAGCGAGATGTACTATGAAAGTATAATTCCATTAGCTTCGTGCTACGAGGGCGACGCTAATGCTTGTCATACAATGGATAGTCAACATAGCTCTTACCTTAGATAGTCTATAAAGTGAGATGGCAATTGGAACTTGATCGACCTTTCCTTTTCTTTGCTACTTATCGAAGTCATTCGAGGAGCTAAATTTCTCTAGATAGACTGTTAAGAATATTTAGTGCATGTTTGTCACACTAATAGATCCCAAGCCATCCGTAAAAGTAAAATCTACTTGCTCATCACAACTTGGTTCACTCTCAAAAGTGAAATGAATTGAGATACCATTTTGTACACCAAGAGATCTATATTTTAGCACAGAAGAAAGACTTTTGTATGTCCCGCAAGAGTCCGTAAATTCAAGCCCATTGGAATCATTTTGTCCCAATGATTCAAATATGATGATACATACTCGTTCCTGTCGATTGCAAATCTGAACGTATACACACTCTTAGTTCCTGCCGAAAGGAAGTATGTATCTAAAAGCTGAGTCTGAACGGTCGAAATATTTGGAAATCTGAATTGTAATTACCTAGCTTCTGAACAGACCGGCTCTTTCCAATAAACTTTGAAAGTGACCTAAAATGACGCTAAAAAATAGTAGTACATCACACTAAAAGTGACAGAATTCAGACGCGACTAGAAAAATTCTAAATGCGTCGCGTGAACATTAAATTTGGCAGGCGCTTACGTCAACAGAATACTAGATTGAAGAAATATGATAGCAAGAGCTCATATAATCAGATACTGCGATACAAGATAAGCTCAACAAGGAAGCTAAAATGCCAAAAAGAGAAAGTACTGAGGGCTACTCTCCATCACAAAAATGACACAAGTTTGCACTGCGACTATAATGATACACCATGGATAGACTGGAAGCAAGAACCTACGTATCTTACCTGGGTAAATACTGCAAATAGCTATCTGCCATAAAGAACGCCAGAGCCATACAACCTTAAAGTGATATTGAGGTTATCTCGCTTAAATTAGATACATTACATAAGCATTACACAGTCGTTCAAGTGAATTTTCGTTGTAAAAACCAAAGTATGTATCCCGGAAGCTGAAAAATACAAAGGCAGAATAGAGCTAGCAGACCTGATAATCTGATGATGAATATTATATTGCTTCCGATTGATCCATCAAGTCTGCATATGAATGTGCTCAACTTCAAAAGGACATCAGTTGCGTCATCAAGGTGAATCAACATCATCCTGCACTTCCTGCTAATTATGAAACAGAACCACCATAGTTCATCGGAAATTTAATTGAGTTTTACATTGAGTTACGATCCTTTGAGACTGCTTGGAACATTGAAATATTGTTCTTGTTGATGAGAGGATGCGTGAAGCATGCAATATGAACGAGGTTTTATCCTAATGCACTGTACTCAAAGACCGACGGATTCTACACCATCACAAAGAGAGCCAACACCACTTTCACACCCAATTATCGCACTACTCTCAAAGCTTCGCAACGTCAGAACATCAGCTACATTATTCGTCTGACTAATTTCTAGCAATCCGCAGCTCGCGAAATGTCTTACATTTCGACTCCATATCAATTCCCCATCGCCCTTCTAGCAAAACGCCCCAAAAGTAAATTGGTATTCCCATCCATCCATTAATGCAAGCAAGCTCTCCTATGTATTCCACCTTTTAATGCGCCTTTCATGACTCATTTAGCCATTAATCTACATGTCTATGGTCTGCCCCACTATATAAATCATGCAAATCGTAATCGTACATGCTAATGTGATAGCTCAAAAGAAAGTTTGAAAAAAAGATTGAGGGCTTTTAATCCTCAATGAGTTGACCTAATATCAAGCTTTGAATCATGACCTCATCATTGACAACCCTAACACGTTTAGGCAATGGTGGTGAAGCATTCTCTTGCTGTATCGAAACTCTCTTTCGTTTTCGGCCACCGCCTGAAATGCTTGCTGGGGTGTTTTCGAACACCGCTGCCTCCACATCCTGCTTTCCATCTACATAAAGCCAATCATAACTGACGTTTTTACTCTCCGCATCGAGAAGCATTTCTCTCGCTTGTTTGAGATCTTGTGCCTGGCCAAGCCGAGTTGGGCCAAGAGCGCGAGTCAGAAATGTGTAGGGTTTCCGCTTCTCGCCAGCTTTTCCCTTCCCAGTAACGATCAAGATAGATTTCCCATCGAGTAGCTTTAATCTCCGAGTGAAAATGTCATTGAGATTCGCACTAGAGGCAGAGTATGGGCGTAAATATCGACTCTTCACAGCTCCACCTAGGAAGGAAGAGTTCCCAGCTGAGAGAAGATATGGTAACCAATCGATTATAGTACACTTTTCAACACAATCAGAAATCCATCGTCCTGAGATACATGGGAGTCCAAGGGCCAAAGCTTGCATGTACTTGGCCTTTCTCGAATGCTCATCTGCAATCAATGCCACGAAACCAATATTTTGCTCCGAAGAGGCAATCTCAAGCTCTGCCTCTCCAGTCTCACTATTTACAGTACGAGATTTGGACGGTAGAGTCGTCGGGGTAAACAAGGTTTCGAATCCGTCATCTAAGATTCGACCACCGTGCTGTTTGATTAAACGAATCGCAACTTGTTTATCTTTTTCTGCATCCACGTATGAGACAGCGAAAGCCATCCCCTCAAATAGACTGTCTATTGACCTTTTATTGTTCAACGAGGTTTTTGAAGGCGGTGTTGATAGGGCCAGTGGATCTTCGCTATCTTCCTGTGATGGCAGAATTGATGGTCGACTTAAGAGAGGTGCTGAAATGGTGTCTTCTTGATATTCGGGGCTCACGGAGCTTCGGGTACGGTGTCTTTTCGTAGCTGGCAGAGCAGTCTCCCCAATTGATTCTTTGACCTTGGTAGCAACACTTCCCCTCGGTCGACCTCTTGATCGACCTCTTGTACTTGATTTCAAATTAGGAATGGATGGGGATACTAACTCTGACTCAGCAGTGGATGAGATAGGATTAGAAACTGTAGACGACACACTCGAAAGCCTAGTATTTCGAGCAACTCCTGGTTGCTGCTGTGTGATAGGCGGCTTTCCGAATTGGCCATTCGAGGATCGAGTAGATTTACGTGGCGTTCTTTGATGTACGCTTTCTTGCTCTCTTTTCGTCGATGGAAGTTGTGGCTCCTCAATCGGGACTGTTTGGGAAGGCTTCGTATCATGTTCAGTTGAGGCCAATGGTGGAGTAACATCTTCAGGGGCAGTTTTAGAAACCTCTGCTGTAAAATTCAATTCAGAAGGCTCAGTCGACGTCTCTATTCCAGGTGAGTTGCAATCGAGTGCTTCTACTTCAGACACCGCCGGAGCTGTGGAAGTCAAAATAGTTCTTGCGACAGGAGTGGGGGGCTCTATTGTACTGGGAGCCGATGAAAGTCCCGATGAGGCTGTAGCAGCAGAGCCATCAGGTATTATATCAAAATGACTAGGCGTAGTAGCTAACGATGGTTGAAACTGAGGTTGTCGTTTGGGTGTATGATGACTAGATACACCAATAACCTCGTTAAACTCATCATCCATGTTAAATCCTGGCAAGTCATCTAACTCATCATTATTCGCTATGCTGAGAGAGACTTCTGCGATCTCAGTCATAGGAATTAATCTATCAGTAGCTGGACTAGTCTCTGGGAGAGTGGAGGCGACCCCGTCGGTTGGATTCTGTATTTGGGTGACGGGTTCTTTAATAACATCGCTGAAAGATACTTCATTGGGTGATGCAGTCATCCTCTGGTCGAATGTGGTAGGTACAGTGGGATCCTTTTCTTGGATTCCATCTGCATGATTGTCGTTTTTGCTTTTCAAAGGCTCGCTGAATTCTTGGCTTAGAGGCTGTTGTAGCTTTCTTGGTAGCCTCCGAGACGGGCTCGTTGATTCTGGGTCTACTTTCTCAACATCAGAGCAGGTTGGCGCTCGATTTCGCGGTCCGGGTACTGGAGAACTTGTAACAAGGGTGCTTGACAAAGGAACACCTTGAGAATCAGCAACCATATCCTGCTGTGTTGGTTGAGTGTCTCGTGCATCAAAGCCTTCACATTGGGTTACATAATCCTCCTGCATGCTTCGGCGTCGTCCACTAGCAGGAACCTCCACAGCGATCGGAGTTGATTTGAAGGCCTGGGATGTGTGAGAAGATGACACCTCTGAAGACTTGCGCTGATGATTAATTGACCTTTGGTTTGTACTAGCTGTGGCAGAAATGGAACTGACTTCTTTTGCGGAATCTGGTCTATCGGATAAAGTTGGTCTTCTTGCACTCAAGGCTGTCTGCGCGCGTAACTTCTGTTTCTCTCTCGCCACTTGTTGGAACTTCTTGGGTAGTGCCTCAATATCAGAATCTGATTCCGAGCCAGAGTATAGCTGACGTTCCATGAACTTCTTTCTTCTTTCTTGGGATTCTTTCATTGGTATGTACGTATCCTGAGGTTCACGTACCAACGTTAATTTTCGAAGAGCGGAATTGAAAGATTGTATGTTATTCGACACTGTGGCAGATCCGACTGTAATAGGAGTCTTAGTAGATGTTGAGTGGTCAGGAGATCGGTCTAATTTTTGGGTAGTCGCGCTAGCGACCTCCGAACGTCGTACGAGTGGTGATGGTTCAACTTCTTGTGAGGATCTATATCCCTTATAAACATCAGGCGATGGCCTAGAGGATGTAGGACTGCCACCAAGTCGTCCAATCGATGATGGTTGTGTTGCGCCAAAGAGCTCATGCTGCTTCATTACACTACCCTTCTCAGAAAATGGGTTGACTGACGGAGCCGGAGTCTGAGGGCCAAGAAGAGTGTCTTGCACAGGATCTTGGGTACTATAAACAGCAGGCGGATCTTCTGATTGGAGATAACCTTCATCAAGTACCGATGTTGGTTGAAATGTATCAAAGTTTATGTGCCCCGTGTCGTTCTCCTCATATGTACGTGCAGTCGACTCAGTGTGTGTAGAATTGGGGTCTCCAGATATGCCATTTGATTGTGGATCTGGCAGAACATTCCGTTCGATTGGAATCGGTGGGCTCGAGGAAAATTCGTCACTCGGTCCAAGAACAGCCTGGTCTCTTAACCTTTGCAATTCTAAGGCTTCGTAAAGAGACTCAGGATTCTCTTGAGTCAAAGATAAATTAGTCTTTTGAGTATGCTCCTCGCCCTCCATTGCTCTCAACTGGGCACAAGACAAGGGAAGTAGGTTGCCGGTAATATCGGATGGCCTCAATTTTCTTTCATTATCTCGCTTTACTGTTGGCAGTACTGGCGGACCATCTCTCGTCCGTTCGGATTTATGTACAGGATTTGGAGGTAATGGACTTTCTCCAGATATTTGAGCTTTAATATCGGATTCTCTGGCGGCCTCTATCTTATGAAAAACTTCCTGGACTTGATTGTGGTGGTTTCCATTTCCTGTAACATGACAGGCATTGTTTGTCGCGTCGATATTACAATTATGATTGCTTGACGCGACGACAGGAAATGACATATTGTTATCCGCGGCTGGTCTCTCCGGACTACTCTATTGGTGAAAATTAAACGTCAGTGCTGCCCTTGTAAAAATTTGCCATGCTGTGATTTGTGGATTTGTGATTGTATAGTGTAAATGCGGAGATTGATCAAATCAGTACATATGTGGCTTACCGATAGTATTTCTTCTTGCAGTTGCAGGCACCTCTGCGTATCAAATACTTCTGACACATCTCCATTCAAAGCCGCAATGGCGGCCATACTAACAGATTTGAACATGATGATATTCTCATATTCAAGATCGAATTGGTCGTTCGATTCAAACTGGTAATTGAGGTCTTATTAGTATAGGCGAAATGTTGACTTGAGCAGAATGATGAAGAGAAGATGCTGTAAGATAAGATTATCGTGGCGAAAGAAGTAAGACGCGACGAGCTTTAAAGATTTTGGTGCGTCAACACGTGATCGATTAAATGTTTCTACTGCTTCAGCTAGGTTAATACCAAAAAAGAAGGCACTAACAGTACAAGGGAATCTGGACAAACCATAATGATTGGAACAATGCAAGACACCCACAGTACATGAATTTCTTCATTATATTCAACTTCTGCACAGTAACTGTAGGAACTACATTGGATATCCGAGACAAAATTAAGAAGCTTCTGCTTATCCCTTTGATCAGAAGTCTCCTCGCTGTAGTTGGAGATACACCGATCAGCTTATCCAATTTTCAAATACATCGGAGAGTACCCTGTACTGGCATAGGCTTCTATAGAATTTATCTATAGGTAGAGCAATCTTTGATGCTGACTCAATGTTCCCTTAAATCGTCCACTACATACCCTATCATTATTGACCGAGAATCAAGCATCTGAAGGCCTTCCTCAAAACAGGCCCATTCCATATATATATACATGTGTGATTTTCGTATATCAGAACCATCTGATAGCATCATCCAGTTGTCGACAAACTCCCTTTTTGCGGCTTGCTTTTTGTATTATTGTGGGATCAAGTGATCCATTCATTTGAGAGACACATATCTTCCACTTCACAAACTTAAATTGTTTAAAAGGCTGATGTGTCGCCGATCTATCCGGTTTGACTAGTGTCATTATAATATTATTAGGGACTCTGTATACAGCTTGATACAAGAGAGAAAACACACTTATGGCGCGAAAGCACAAATTTTACTCAAACTTTGGACGAAGGCTGATGGGACACAGCGACTATGGCGCAACAATACTAGATTCACTTATCAATATGGTATGTTGATATTGGCAAATGGTGCGATGGTCTCCCATATCGAGTCGCACCACCATGTTTGCCCACAGCCTTATAGTCCACTACCTCTTCCTGGCTTCTTCTCCCTCAAAGTTCTGTCCCACGTTCTCAATTATTGTCCTCTTGTCCTCTTTTCCAAAAAAAATTGAGATTACAGAACTCGTTACGGAACGTCGACAGAAGCCGAGAGCCAGGGCATGCCCAATTCTACTCCTATCGTTGACGGCATGGAGTGTGATACTAAGGAAATATATGATGACGTCATTAGCGGCAAGGGCAAAGGCATAATCTTTCTGCTTTCGGGTGGCCCTGGTATTGGCAAAACCTTGACTGCTGAGTCTGTTGCCGAGCAAATGCATGTTCCACTCTACATGCTTTCGGCCGGAGACTTGGGCACAGAATCTAAAGATGTTGAGTCAAACTTGCGTTCAGTCCTTCAGATGGTCACCGGTTGGAATGCGGTCCTATTGTTGGACGAATGTGATATTTTCCTAGAAGCACGAACTTCAAACTCACTTGAGCGGAACAAAATTGTTTCGATCTTCTTACGAACACTCGAGTATTATGAAGGGATCTTGTTGTTCATGACTACAAATCGTGTAAATAATCTTGATCCAGCGTTCAAATCACGCATTCATCTCAGTATAGATTACAAGGATTTGGATACTAACGCTAGAGAGAAAATTTGGAGAAACTTTCTGTCGCGTGGAGAGGATCAAGAACATCATCATCAAATCACTGATGTTGGCAAATTGGCGGACTCAAACATCAACGGAAGACAAATCAAAAATGTTTTGAAGACTGCTAAATTACTCGCTAATCACAAGGGTGAGCTTCTCAAGTTCGAACATGTTCGAACCGTTATGAGTGTGGAGGGAAATTAAGCACGTATGCATATCCCTATGCATATTCTGAAAAGTCTGGTACCAGCTTAGGATTATAGGAAGTGAATTGGACAAGTGTCTCGTCCGTATTTAGCCAGCTTAGAACATCACTCCACAATACACGCGCGTTTATTTTTAAATTTTTGAGAAAACTTCATACATTCGACTGCAAGACAATTCACAAATTTAAGTGATAATCCACTAAGTTCTCAATAAGTACAATTTTCAAAGTAAATTTAGTACTCCAAACTACCCGAGTCATTCAAACAAATTCAAAAATTGAAAATTACTGACCGCCCAATCTCCATTTTCCACCTCGATACCGCCATTCGTATTTATCTCCTCATTCTCCAAGCCATCAGCAACTCAATCTCGTATCCTTCACGTGAATCACGAGCCATATCGTATCGTAGCACCGCACGCTCTCAGCCTCAACGCGGATCCGTCTTGGCGGTAAGCGGGACATCAGACCATGACTTCATCGCTTAACAAAATATCACGAACATCACTAATCCGCCCGCATCACCTGAAGAACAGTTTCTCCACATCACGCCATAGCGCGTGGATTGTCAAACTATTTATAACATTCTCAATTCTTTTCGTGATTTTAAGCTTTTGGCTACTGGATGATTCTACTAGTTTGTGTTTTTTACGACATTTGTGTCTTTTGGGAGGAGAGCTGAGTTTAAGTGATGATGCTCTTATTTCGTACTTGGTGATCTTTACACGGAATTGGAACACGTTAGGGAGATATGGGGCGAGCTTGGGTCTCGGATAGCTAGTAGTGAGTGACGGGTACGAGGGATGATCTGACAGCGCAACGACAACGGGTTGATGGAATTAAGCTTACGAGGTATGCTTATTGGCATCTTGAAGATAGACTAGCTGGATGTACGTAAGTAGTAAGAATGATATGACAGTCTGGGGAAATGGGGTATATAAATTCTGAACACCTCCTGAAGTCAAGAGTTTTCTCCTCATCATCACTATCAATATCTTATACATTCACTTCTCAATCGAAGCTTCTCAAACATATTCAAACAATCTAATCAAAATGCAATTCTCCACCCTTTTGACTCTTGGTCTTGCAGCTATCAGCGGAGTTGTAGCTGCACCTGCCAGTTACTTCGATGTAGATATTACATTTATCGGGGGTCCAGCAAGTTACAGTTTGACTGTTCCCGCGGACGGACAATTTCACGCTACTAGTGTTTTTCCCTTTCTCTCTCTTAATCACCTTTTCGCTTTCAACTCTTTCACTTCCACCCCACGAGTCCCAGAAGAAACTAACCTTACACTCCCCAGATAACCCCCTCTCTATCTCTCTCATCCGCTCCTCCAACTTCGACGTTTATAATCTCTGTACCTTCTACCATGATAATGCGGTTGCGTTGGTGAATAATGGAGGGATTGTTAGTGTGGGTCCTCCAACACCGATCACTGGTGTGAGCTGCCAGGTGACGGATGAGAGATGCATTCCTAATTATAGTGAGTCTTTCTATTTTTCCTCTAGAATTTTAGTTTTGGGTTTGGAAAGTTGTTTTTGAAGAAAGAAGAAAGTGATGGACCTGAAGAGAGAGAGAGAGAGACGGATAAGAGGATGTAAAAGGAGGAACTTCGGTAAAAAGTGATACTAATCTTATTGCAATAGGCGATTGTTACAGAAACGGACAATTCCTCGGATCATGCTGTGATGGATTCTGTGCAGCGAACAAGTGTAGACCTTTCTCTGGTGTTTAAATCTTTACTCTCATGATCTAGTGCAATCTAAAATATTTCTAAAGGGGTAGAAGAGAGGAGTACGTAATCGCAGGCGTAGAATTGTCGAGGAGAATCGAGGAAATGGGGGGAATTGAAGGATGCGTATTAGTTTACTGTTTTTGAATTGAGGTGTATGCATTTATGGTTTCGAATTATCGTTGTTGTTGTTTGTTTCTAATTTAATGTAATGAGTTTTGTAATTACACTATCTCTGAAACAATCGTTTAGCAGAAGCGTATCTAAAATTTAGTCAATTCAAATCTTGTTCCTCATATCTGTCTTTTCCAGCAACATGAGTTTGAATTTCACAACGAGCGGTTAAATGGTGAGGAAATTAGATTTATTGATTTATTGCTTAGACTAAGTGTCGAATCTCGTCACAAATTTGCGTTCGGATCAATCGTCCCCTCTTTGGACTTCCAGCGAGTCATCAACTCAAGATGGAACTTCCAGCCAGCAAATAATGCAACCAACAACGTGTACTTTAAACCAATGGCTCAAATAGGACGAACAAATTAATTTTCGATCGGGGACTCAAACATTTCTGCTCCTGATGAGATTGAGAAAAACCCAAGTGTAGATAGTATTACTCGCGAAGACTTTCCTTGGCTGAAATGAAAGTTGGCAACCCGAGACCAATCAATTATCATTCCGCATAAGACAATGCTATGTGATCTTGTAAGTCCCGTGTATAAGATGAAGGATTCGCCCATCTTATCTTTCAAGGAACGTGGGGTGCTCTGCCAAAAGCTGCATATATGTCATTGGCTGCAGGTGGAAGTAAGGGATGGTATAGTGACATCGCGTGAGATGTAATGAGGGGTAAATGACTTGAGTATATTACTTTATAACCACTACAATCTTCCCAGAAAAATTCAACTATATATCACTTTCTCCCAAAACTCTTCAACACTCACTTTTCTCGAAATGCAATTCCTCAAATTTCTGGTCCTTTCAACGGGACTAATCTTCCGTACCGTCTCCTCAGAATCATCAAAATGCCCCAACATCTCTCCTGGCCCAGCATCTTCATTTCAACTCGCAGAACTGCTCCCCATATCCCCTCTCACAGATCCTATTGCTACAGAAATTATCCGTAACACATTATCTCTATATGCATTTGCCATTGACGGACGAAATGTAAGATAAAAACTGAATTGCTACTTTCCCTATAACTTCTCAACATCTTCTCCAGACCACCATGAATCCAAATCCTAACACCCCATTCCCCAACCCAGTGGCAAGCATTCTCCCGTGTCTTTACCCCAGACGCCCGAGCGAACTACTCAGAGCCCCTCCCTGTTCTCTACGGATTGAAAAATATCACCGATGCTGTTGCAGCCCAGGTAATTCAATTCACGGGGACGCATCATAGATACGGTACTCAGTATATAGCAATATGTTCGCCTACCTCAGCGATTTCCATAACGTATCTTGAAGCTAGCCATTTTCTCTTACCGCATACGTCGCCGGTTATAGAAGATGATAGTCATACCCTGTTTGTGACGGGCAGGTATGAAGATACGTGGAAGAAGGCGAACGGAAATTGGAAGATTGTGAATCGAAATTTGGTTTTTATAGTGAGTAATGATTCATGAAGGGAAGAATATTGATAATGAAGAGAGTGATGCTAATACTCTGAATAGGGACCGTTCATCTTGGATACCGCGTAGGAGCTTAAATTTGGGGTTTCCAACTCTGCTTAAAGCTAGTAGCTTTGAAAGTATTGGGAAAAAAAGATGCTCGGACTTTTAGAAGCATGACCATGGGGCTGAATATGCTTTGGAAAGTCGTATAGAGGAGTGACCAGAACGGAACCTCCTTATATTGAAATCTCATGACTGGTTTTGACAATTGTTTCGCTAGGGAAAAAATCACCATCATTGGATATAAGGTCAAGTACTGCGTGAATATCTCGGTTTTGAAGGCCAAATATCTCCTCAATCATTTTTCGTGAATGATGTCTTCCAGATCTTGTCGCAAAATGACTCTTCTCGGTCTTCCCGTAAATTTCATTTTCCATTATGCAAACTCATAATCCTCCAGATGCGTCCACTCCCCGCTAACCTCATACCTCCACAGACTAATCGCCTCGGCCATCCCTCCTATTCCCCCATTTCCATCTCCATGCATCATCCACTCTCCCTTCACCTCCTCCAACGTTCTCTTTGCCTCCTCCTCTCCAACCTTATTCTGCACCGTAACGTGCGATCTTATTTTTCTGTCATCCTGTTCCGTCAATTGCACACCTTTTTCTCTAAATTCTCCTAGTAATTCTTCATGAATCTTCCGTAATTTGAAAGATGCAATATTGAGTGCCACGCCTTTTCTCCCCAAGGGAAAAGGATCTTTAATACCGACTTTGAATTTTTGTTCTCGTGATGAGAGGGAAGAGAGAGTGGATTTATAAAGAGAATGCTGGGAAGAGGGAAGAGCATGGAAGAGAGTTATATGTGCAGAGAGGTAGTTGCGAGAAGAAGGAAAATAGCGGGTCCGGAGAGCAGTGAGGAGTTTCTCGGAGGCGGCGTCGAGGCGGAGGGTCAGGATAAATGGTTGAGACATTTTTGAATTTATGAAGGAAGAATATGAAATGGATGTTTGTTCATGGTTGTTCTCACATGAGTTGAAGGACTTGGTGGAGTCAATGATTGGGAAAGATAATGAGGTCATGGATTTAGGAGTGGGAACCATAGTTAGCGCAGGGTTACATAATGGTGTTTGAAGCGTCGACGTTAATTCAATAGTTTGCTTATTCGATAACATCGCAGACTTGTGATAATTTTCATCGAGACGCACAATTCAATCAGTATTGAGATATATCATTTGATCCATGTTTTGTTACAGATCCAATCGTATCCTAGATACCTCCCCTTCCTGTCGCCTATTGTTGTCAAACCCGAATTTCCAGTACCAAGTTGTTGAAATCGATAATCCTAATCCATACACTGCAAACATAAAACAAAGTTCTATCCTATTCGATCTTACCGTTCCACCTCAAAATTCTTGCTCTGAAGTTCTGTTGCTTGACAAACCATCTGTTCTTACAAACTATCCCCCCATTTCGCTCCACATCCGCGTCCAGCTCAAAATCAAATCTCCTCACCAATTGGGGTATCAGCTTGTTCATCTCCAACAAACTAATATTCTTGCCAATACATGTTCTCGAACCCATGCCAAAAGAGAAGAAGTACTTTTCTACTTCTGCACCTCGACCTTGCTCCTCAATTTCCAGCCATCTTTCGGGTCTCCATTGATCGGCGTCAGAGCCCCAGACAGAAGTATTTTGATGAGCTACATACGCATTGATGCCAACTGTAGAGCCACCTGGTATGAATTTATTTGCGATGGTAGTACCCTCTGCTGGGACGATTCGTTGTAGCCCCAGACCCACAGCAGGATGGACTCTTAATCCTTCTTTCATCACCGCTTGTAGATAGGGTAGTCCTTGGGCTTCTTTAAAGGTAATAGGATCTGATATTCTTCCCTCCTTTGCCGCAGTTTCTATCTCGTCTCGCAGTTTTTGATAAGTGTTTGGGTACTTCAACAAATGGTAAAGCACACTCGAAAGGGTAATAGCTGTTGTATCACTTCCTGCACCAATGTTGGACTGGCATGTGATACGCAAATCGCCTCTCGTAATCTTTCCAGGATCTTTTTCAGAAGCCATCAAAATCCTCGTCACGAAATCTAGAGTGCCCTCTTCTTTCCTGTTGCTACTTCTTTGTTCTTGTAACAACTTTTCTTTTTCTGCAATTCTATCCTCTGTGAACTTGACGACATATGCAATCCCGCCAGTGTTAGGCAATAACGGAAATATCCATACATGAAGCCAGCTCCAAAGCCCAACGAATGTAGAATACCATCCTCCATTGTCAATTGCCTTGAACACACCATCCTTGTCCTCTCCCATATCTAGAAATCCAAAGCGTTTACCGAATGTAATCTCTCCAATAACATCAAACGCATAGCATTGCAACAAATGCTGCATGTCAACAAAATCTCCTGCAGTTGCCGATTTCACGAAGTGTCGTGAGAGTAACTCCGAACAATTATCCACATGACCCTCATATCCAACCATAGAGCTCATACTATAGTAATTTGCGACCTTACGTCGTTGTACAGAGTGAGTATGTGGATTGAGCTCAGTGAATAGCGAAGCTGGGACTTTATTCGAAGGCTGCCATGTCGTATACCATGATGATTTTGGGAAAGTAGCTCCACCAATAGAATAGATGACTTTGGCAGCATCGACATCATCAATCGAGTATTCATGCGGTGCGATGCGGACAATAGGGCCATAGCGAGTGTGCAGCTGTTGGTTGGTACGTTCGAAATCGCCTTCGTATATTTTCCAACAATACCAGGCTCGAGTAAAGCGTGCGAGGAACGGTCCTGGAATATGGCGGAGAGGATCTACGATTGCAAGGAATACGGTACTCAGGATGTAAATGGATACTGGGATCGTAATGAGTGCCCATATTGGGAGGGAGATAATTTCTTCAAGCATGTCGTTTTGTATTCCCCGAAAGAAAGGAATCAGAAAAACATGGATAGTGACAATAAACGGCAAGAGATGGCAAGATATATACACCTAATTACTACTACATGAACACACTTCGGACATGTTTCGGCTTGCAATGCATGGTTAAGACATACATATACGACGGAGTGTTGAGCGGCAGTTCAAATGCGGGGAGTATGAAAACAAGTGCGGTTCAATGCGGGGAACTCGGTGTACAGTCACCGTGCACTTCTATTAGCCGAAACTCCACAAAACGCGTTTTTTCATGTATTACACTCCTATAATCACGTTTTATTATTTTAATTATATTTTCAATTTATAATGTATAACATATTAGAGGTATACAAAATGATTCTTACAAGTGTTTTATTCTATATATATACAGCAAAATAGTTAGTAAGGTAAAGGAAGGCTTTAATTTCTATTGAATTGTAAAGAGTTTTGGATTTTTTTGTAGAATTAACGTGGTTTATCAGTGAGTAAATTATATCAATGAATAGATCACTTATTTTATATACAAAATTTGTTTGTATATAATTATACACTTTCTTTATTTATAGATATAATTTTCTAAAAATTTAATATAAAATATTTCAATATATAAGAATATTAAAAATCTTATTAGTTTTAAGAAATTTGAATTTATAAAACTGTTATTATAAAAATAGATTTTTTGTAACAAAAATCATAACAATTTCCTTTTCTTTTTAGAATATAATAAAATTATTTTATAAAAATTAGATTAATAAAAAACCTAGATCTTAATTATTTTTTAAAATCTTTTATTTAAGAAAATAATAATTAGTTATTAAAATTTTAATATTTTAAAAAGCTTGATTTAAATGGTTTTCGAAATAACCCGTTCATTGATATAACCCATTCACTAATAAACCACGTTATATGATATATTCTTTTATAAGATCTAATATATAACAATAGTATATATTTATTATATACTAATCGATTTAAATTATATATTAAATAAAACGAATAAATGTTATTATGATATATATAATTGTTTTTAAAAACTATATATAAATAGATTATTTAAAAGGTTAGATTTGATTATAGTATTAAAATTATTAAAAGGATTTTGATCAAATATAATATAATCAATTGGAGGTATAAGAAAAGATTAAAGTTTATATTAATATATATTATTAAATGGCTTAAATAGTGTTTAGTTTATAGGGGGTTAACAATTGAAGAATGGGGTTTAGTTGTATAATCAGATGAATACTCTATAAAATAAGGAAAAGAAAAAAGATTAGAATAATGCTTTTATATTAAATTTCAGAAATGGAATTTAGAAATAATCGAAATATATAATATAAATAAGAATATAAAGATTATGTGTTAAAAAAGCTTTTAGAATATTGGAAGAAGTAATTTATATATAATAAATAGGGATTTTGAGAGTGCAAAATATAGATATAATATTAAATCTTATTTTAAGGTTTTTGAGATTGAAGTAGACCCTATTTTTGAAAAATTTGATTTAGAATATAAATTTATATAGAATAATGCTTCTATTTATTGTACCTATAAAATATAAGATTGGTTTTAAGAAAAAAAGATTTTTTTATTGAAGGATTAGTTTTTTTATTTCTTTAATCTTAATTTTATAAAGTATATATAATAGGTTTTAAAAATAAGAATATATAAAATGTTTTTTGATATTGTTATTGATAAAAGCAAATTAGAATATATTTATCAAAGGTTAAAGAGTTGTTTATAGATAGTTTGTGTTAGAGTAGATACTAGCAATGAATCAACTAGGTGAAATGTAGCACAAAGACTTTTCATTAATTCTTCTAAACTTATGAAAACTATACAATTTATATATGTGTGCGGGCTCCCTTCGGCACACGGTAGGCCCGAGGGCTTACTATCACGTGCCTAATGGAGCCCTTTAGTCCATGACCGTGACAGTTTGGGATATATTAAATAAAGAATTATTTAATAATTTGGGAGCTAATATGCCTTTTAGAATTGAGGCTTGTATTGCAGCGAATAGCTGACATATTAAATATTAATAGATTAAAAATTAATAATAGAATAATTTTTATATATATCAATAATATAAGAATACATTATTTATTTATTCAAATTTAATAATTTTATAATTCTTGATTAATTTAATATTTAATA